GCACGGACAGCTGTGACGCGCAGGACTGCGCTTCAGGCGTGCAGGCTGCAGCGAATCGCCACCTCTGGGGGGCCGTCTGCGCGCAGCCGCACGCACCGCGGTTTCTCCCGCCAGACGTCCGACGTCGTGACCTCTTCCACTAATCCTGGCGTCATGGATGTTTTACTGCGGGGGGTATTAGAAGGGGGGGGCGAAGAGAAGCGCCATTACGGGCCCCGCTCAAGGCCCCTTTTACCACCAGTACGAGTCACCCCGAGTCGCTCTTTTGAAGGAGCTGCTGACGCTCTCGGGGCCCAGTTCAGGCCGTCGGAGGCCGACGCGGGCAACAAACTCCCGCCCTGCTGCGTTGAATGCTCAAGACGCTGGATGCCTGGGTTCGTGACTCTGGCACCCCGATCTTAGGGGGCAAACTAACCTACCTCGCTTTTGACCACCCTCGCTTCCAAGAGATACCAAGCGATGCCAAACTACGGCCTGCACTGGTCAGGCCGCTTGACGAGGAGGCGCGTGGCATGACTTGGTTTTGCCTGGAAGCGAAAGCGGGGTAGGTACTTCACGCTCTGAGATCTCTCGACCCCATGCCTGGGACTCGCTTCCCATCGGCGGGCCGCGCCGAAGCTCTGAAATCCTGCATCGGCCAGCCCAGCAGAACCCAGGAGAAGCCTCATCCCGATGGCTTTCCCTGACCACACCTCAGGCCTCAGTCGCCCGTTTGGGACGATTCCCGCATGCCCAGAACGCCCGCGACGAGACGCAACCGATGGAAACCGCCCTGGACTCCAAAAACATCCGAGAACGGTCTCCTCCTCCTCGTCCTCCTCCTCCTCGTCCTCCTCCTTCTCCTCATCCCTCCCTCCCTCCCTCCCCCCCCTCCCCCCTTCAGAGCCCCGCTCCTCAACTGCTACACTCCGTGGCCTCTGGCCAGGCGCCGCGCGGGAGGGCGCTGGCAGTCACGAGGGGAGGGGTTGCCGTGGCGCCGCGGCCTCAAGGCACCAAAGCGCGCGGCGCTGATGCACCTCGGTCCTGGAGCGTCGCGGGTCAGCCACCGACTTGCCCAGAGGCTGGGGCGGCGCAGATTGAAGCATCTGGAGGGCGCCCACGAGGCTCCCGCTCCCTCAAGCGAGACCAATCCTTCGAGGCCCCGGCCCCGCAGGACCCGCAGTCCGCCCTGGAGGAGTCCTAGATGGGAACGGGGCAGATGGGGTCGGAGGATCGCGCCGCATCGCCGATCCATCGGCGATGCATCGCCGATGCATCGCCGATACACTGGCGATGCACTGGCGGTGTCTGCGACCGGGCGATCGGGCTCCACATTGCGCCGCATCGCCAGTGCATCGCCGTTGCAGTGCGATCCTCCGACCCCATCTGCTCCGACCCCGTTCGGGCGGGTGGCAATGGGGGGTGACCTGCATGGGAGGTACAGAAAAATGGCCCAGAAATGGCGTGCGCACCCTCGCTCTGAGGCTTCCGCCACCCCATGGGGCACCCCCTCGGCCACCCCCTGGGGGCGCACCCCATGGGCACCTGCATGGGTGACCTCCATGGGAGGTGCAGAACATGGCCCCGAAATGGCCCTCCAGGGCCCCCTCGTGGGCCCATGCTGGCTCCCAAAGGGCCCACGAGGGCCCCATTTAGGCTCCCTCTCCGCCCCCCCACTCGGGCCACCCCCCGTGGCCCAGCACCACCTGCCCGACCCACCTGGGAGGCCCCCGGCGCCCCTCCCTTCCCCAAATGTCGCTCAATCTCGCGTACCCACTGGCCGCACTTCTTCTTGCGAGTCTCTTCTGCCTTCTTCATTCGCCCTCCCTCTCCCTCCCTTTGGCGCCGGCGCGCGCGCCAGGAGGGGCCGGGCGGGGCGCGGCGGGGCCGCCAGCAGGTTCAGCAGGCCCGCGACGCCGCCGACGGCGGCGCCGACCTCGGAGTCTGGCGCCAAGGCGGTGTTCCCCTGCCTCTCCCTCGCTCTTTTTCCCCCCTCGAGAGTCACACAATATGAATACTACTCTTCTCGCCCCCGTTTTCTTACAGGATATGCGCGAACTGTCTTTCTCATCTGGTTTGTTTTGCAATCCGATTGAGTGCAGTTGTTCAAAATGTTGTTCCCGCTGCAGCGTGGGCCTCATGTTCGCGTCTGCGCTGTGCTCCCGTCGTTCAGAATAGCACCACCGCCGCAGCGTGGGCCACTTTTCTGGATCCCACAGGTCTCGTAGGTCCCACAGTCTTGCACGCCTCGCAAGCCCCCCAAAGCCCACAGGCCCCACAGGACCCACAAGTGTCGCAGGTCGTCCCACAGGTCATACAAGTACCGCTGGTCTGACAGTCTTCACAGGTCCCCCAGGTCCCACAGGTGTCGCAAGTCTTACATGCCCCACAAGTCCCACAGGTCCGACAGGTCCCGCAGGTCCCACAGGCCCCACTGGTGTCGCATGTCTGAGGTACAGAGGTCCTCCGGATCCCACAGGTCCCGGAGGTTCCGCCGGCGCCACGGGCCCCAGAGGTCCTGCAGGTTCCAGAGGACCCACAGGTCCTGCAGGTTCCAGAGGACCCACAGGCGTCGCCAGTCTCACAGGCCCCACAGGCCACAGAGCACCCCCAGGTCACAAAAGACGCACAAGTTTCCTGTTTCCGACTGCGCTTAACACGATGGGGTCTTCTGTGGAGTTTCAGGTCGTCTATGACACGCGTCCGCTAATAGACAAACAAAACATGGGCAATGAAAAGGATGGGAGGGAGGGATAGGATGCCAGATATGGCGCGAACGCACATTGTTTGCCCTCCTCCCGCTCTCCCTCCTCCCCCTCCTCCTCCTCCTTCTCCTCCTCCTCCTCCTCCTCCTCTTCCTCCTCGTGCTCCTCCTCCTCCTGTTCCTCCTCCTCCTCCTCCTGCTCCTCCTCCCTTAAGCAACTCTGGCTTGAGGTCACACGGTCCCCAGTGGGCCAGGGTAGTCTTGTGGATCCGACTACCGAACTTCACACCCAGAGCCCGCGGGCGTCCCCGACGCGCTTGAGGGACACTATTCTTTCCTCTCACCAGGCCCGACAGGACACTGACTAACACACGGGATGGCTAAGCTCTGGACCAGATGCTCTGTGTGCCAGCGCTGCGAGTGGAATCACAAGTTGCAGGCGGGTGGCTCCACGTGCCCGAACAGCTTCCCTAAGATCACGCTGTACACCCCAGGTCGCAAGGTTCGCTTTAGTCGTGACCACGGGGGGGAAGAATTTCATGATGCTCTCAGTGGTGATAAAAGACCTGCCCCAACCGCGCGCCCCAGGAATCCTCCGTGGTGGCAACAGCCGAAGCGCCTCCACAACTGGGCGTGGCGGCAACGGCGGCGACAAGGGCAGGCAGGGCGGGAACGACTCGCAGGCCAAGAAACTGTTGCAGCAGGCGGCCGAACTGGCACACGACCCAGCCTTGAAGCGTATGCTTAGCACCACAGCCACCTCCGCAGGGCAGCTGGTGCCGACCGCCCCCATGCCTGTGAAAGTCTCGCCCTGTGGATGCTCTCAAGAAGGCGGAGGGGGCGGCCAAACATGCGGAACATCTACATGGTTAAGCTGTCACGACCGTGGTCCGCGTCCGCAGTAACCTGGTCGCCGCGGAGGAGAAGGAGCGCAAACTTGCGAAGGAGCTGGCAGAGTCGCTGCGGGCCAAGAAGGTGGCAGCAGCAGCGTGCACCAAGGCCGAGGGCACAGAGTCGCCAGGCCCAAGCGACCCAGCTGCCAAGCCGAACAAGCTGCGCACGAGTGGGACGAGAAGTTCTCCCAGGAGTTGGACGCCCTGGAGCGCGAGCCCGCGGAGAAAAAGGCCCTTGCCACCCCGCAGACTCAGCTGGGGGAGGCGCGCTCTACCTTCCAGGGCCGCCCGGGGGAGATCGAGCGCTGGCTCAAGCAGGCCGACGACTACAAGCGCAGCATCATGGAGCGTTTGGCGAAAAAGCGGGGGGCGAGTGACTCGAGCCCCCAGGCGCCCGCTGCCACCCCGCAATAAGGGGCCGGCCAAGGCGGCCACCGAGGGCAAGGGCACCGAGTCGCCTGCTTCTGCGGCAGCGGCCACGCCCAACCCCGCTGAGCAAGAGCAGCATGCCGCCGTCATCAGGCAAGAGGCCAAACTGCTCTCGGAGGCGAAATTCAAGGCGAAGATGGAAGCCGCGAAAGCACAGGGCAAAAGGCTCAGCTGCGAGTGCCGCGGCGGCCAGTGCCTCGGCTTGACGGTCGATAACGGGGACCCAGCAGACCCATAATACTGAAGGGCGCAGGCTGGTGATGAAGAATGCACGGCGCTATTCGATGCCAACATCACCAGCCTGACAGACAAGGCGTGGAAGGATGCGACGACACAACATGTCCGCCGCCATGACCACTGGGCACTGGTAGAGACTCACGTGCACACAAAGTCGGACATGAGGACGTGGGACAAAGCTGCGCGTGCTCTCAACCTTCGCATGACAATGATTCGGCTCGCCGTTGCTCCAGGGTCGCGCCTGCTGCAAAGGAGGCCAAGTCCAATGAGGGTGGCGAGATGTTCATGTCCAAAAAGCCTTACCAGATCCAGCAGCTCCCTGAAGCGCGCGCTGCAGCTAACCTTCTTCGCGCCGCAGGTCAGCCGGCGCATTGTGGCTTCTGCCCGATGATTCTGCAGCAGCGCAACTACGCCATCGCCCTGGTGGCTCTGCATGCGCACCCCACTGTTAAGGTGACTGGCAAGAACTTGGCACGCTTCTCCAAGTAGGGTGGCCGATTGCGCGCCCTGCGCGTCCCGTGGCTAGTCGTTGGCGACTTCAACGCGACGCCCGACCAGCTGCGCCGCGCGCCCTTTTTACACCGAGACGGGCGGGACCATCGACCAGACGCCTGGAGTCGAAGGCACTTGCGCGCAGAAAAACGGCCCAGACACCATGATTGACTATCTTCTCCTGAGCACTAATGCCATTCCGTTTGTGAAGAGTGTCTCAGTGATCCGCAATGTTCCGTGGAAGCCCCATGTAGGCCTGTCCATTTCATTGAGGGCCTCGGGGCAGCTCCTGAGGACTCGGGCGCTCAGCCCCCCCCAGTTTCCCCCAGGTCCCTCGACCTAAGTGCGAGCCCACGCTTGGCTCTAAGCCCAGACTGGCCTGGTCTAGGCTCGTCGCCCAGCGCAAGGCTTCCCTCGCCCACAGGATCGAAGGTGGCCAGGAAGCTTCCGGCATCCTTTTCGAGGACCCCCCCCCGGCAGCGCACCCCGGGCCAACGAGCCAGGAGGCTCTGGGGGAGGCCCAAAATGTTGAATTGATCGGTCCCGGGGGGGAGGAGGGCCCTTGGGCGCGCGAACTTCTGTTTTGCAGTGACTCGCAAATGGCGCGCAGAGAGGCTCACGTCAGCGTTGGCGCGAACGGCGCGCAAGCTGCAGCAGAGAAAAATACTAGAACCACGCGCGCGCTTCGCGCGCGCTTAAGTTCTAGCTAGGAGGCGAGCTTGAGTCAACGAAAGTCGCAGGGAAGGGGGCAGGGGGAAGGAGGCCAGAGAGCGCTGAAGGATACAAATACTGGAACCCTCTTGTGATTTTGTGGGGGGCCTCGTCCGGCCGCTCGCTGGGAGTTTGACGTAGCTTCTCGGGAGCCTCTGAACCTGTCGGGGGCCTCCTGGAAGCAGGTTCGAAGCATTTTGGGGGCCGATTTGGGGCTTCTCGGGGCCTCCTTTGGGCCTCTTGGGGGTCTCCTGGGGCCTCTTGAGGGGCCTCCTTGGGGCCTCCTGGCGGCCTCTTGGGGCGGAAGGCTCGAGCTTGCGGTTCGTGGTCCCCCTCTGGGCCCCCTCTTGGGCCCGTCTTGGGGCCCTCTTGGGCCATCTTGGGCGCCTCTTGGGCCGTCTTGGGGCCCTCTTGGGCCATCTTGGGCGCCTCTTGGGCCGTCTTGGGGCCCTCTTGGGCTGTCCTGGGGCCCTCTTGGAAGCTTCTTGGGCCGTCTTGGGGCGGTCTTGGGCGCCTCTTGGGCCGTCTTGGACGCGGCGAAAGCCCAAGAGGCGAACATGCGAAAAATATACGTTTTCCCATAGGAATGGCACGATTTTTGCTTATTGGGCCTCTCTTGGGCTGCCTCTCGGAGCGTCTTGGAGGCTTCTGGGACCTTCTTGGTGTCATGACAGGCGTCTTGGAAGGCATCTGGAGCCATCGGAGCGCGTTCCGAAGCCGCCTGCGAACGATCTTGGACGGCGCCCGGCGGTCCGACGAGCCTCCGGGCCCCCCCGGGCCCACATTTGTGGTCGAGGTCCCGGCCCCGGGCCCCCGGACCCAGTGCGCCGTTATATGTATACGCGCCCAATAATGCGAGTTTGAGTTTCCAGGCGAGCGAGGCCCAACCCCCCAACCCCTCGGCGGCTCTCCCTCCCCCGAGTAAAGTAGAAGGAGGATCTGACCCTTCCCAGCAGTACGCCTGTGCCTTCGGCGGCCCGCTGCCCCTGACCCTGAGTTTGAAATCCCCGCTGCGACGCGGATTGAATGTCGGCGGCAGGTGGGATTCAAGTCAGGCCCTGCCACTGTGGGCAATCTCTCTCTCATGTGCCCTCTACCACCGTAGCGATTCGGCTCGAACCCCGAGCCAGCCAGCTCCTCGCGGGACAGTATGCGGCATGGGCGACAGGTGTAGAAAGCGCGATTCATATGCATCATGGCACCAGGCCTTCCCAGGGACCTTCGCGAGCTGAGGGGCCCAGGTTTGTCGAGAAGCCCACGCGCGTCTCGGCCCATGTGCGCGAGCTCGCCCTTCGTGATCAACGTAGCCAATGGTGGACGCGGGCCCGCACTATCCTTACAGGCACCATTCGGCACCTCTGCCGCGACAATGGATGCCGCCAGCTCCGTTAGTACGACGCAGCAGGCCGAGCCCCACGAGCATCGCGACCAGACGGGTCACATGTGTTCCTCCGTGCTGGCCAGGAGGCACCATGGGAGCAGTGGCTTGCGATTGTGTCTCATCCATCTCAGATCAACAACTGAGCACTGGAAAATGTTGCCATCGCGGCCAAGAAGCTCGCGGCGCGAGCCCAGCGAGCTGCCGCGCGTGAACCCGCGACGGAATTTGAAACGTTTGCGGCGACCCCCGAAGCCCGGGGCATCCTTCACAAGTCCTTGATCATGAACAAGCTACCTGCTTTGGAAATTAGACACAGGAGGTTCACCCAGCGAATCTTACGGAGCATGAATCGACGCACGTCAAAGGTTGCGGGCCCCACGGGAGCCGAAGCTTGCTGAGATATCTGAGGCATTTCGTCTGATTCGGTCTGAAGCGGAATATGATACTCTGCCTGAGCTGACCTCTGACATGATCTACAACAGTGTCATGGCTATGAAGGCCAAGTCGGGGCCAGGCGTGGACGTGCTCTCTCCAGTGGATACTCGGAGATTACCCATAGGTGTCATCACTGAGCTGGCACATCTACTCGCCTCTGCCGAGGCCATGTTGGCATGGCCTGCCCAGGCACAACTCACCGTCAGCTACTTGACGCCCAAGAAATCCAGCGGCGATCGTGGCATTGGCATGCTATCGATGCTGGGGCGCCTTTGGTCACGCACGCGGGAGCCGCTGGTGCGGCAATGGGGCGCAGGGTCGGCTCGGTCTCGGGGCGCAGCAGCGTCGTGCAATTCCTGCCTCCGCGAGGCCTGCCTCCGCGCCATCGACGGGGGGCCGGCCCGCGCCCCCGGCATGCAGTTCGGCCAAGGCCTATTCGACGTGCAGGAACTTTACGACACCATTCCGTGGATGCCACTGGTGAAGGCTGCCCCGCGCCTGCTGTTTCCTCCACTCATCTTGTACCTGGAGTTGCTGATATGCATACCAGAACGCGGGCTCTCTCTGGAGGGCGCGGTATGCAAAGCGTTCGAACCCTGCCAATCGGTCATTCAAGGGCTGCGTGTGGGCACCAGGTTTGCCTAAACCCTCACCCACTTCGTGGTGCAAGTTGTCACCGCGGCCACGTGTTGATGACTCATCGCATCTGGGTAGATGACAATTGCCAGAAAATCATAGGTTCGCGCCAGGCTGTCCGCTCCAACCTCGTCCGAGGGGCGGTCAAGACAGGAACTTGCCACAGCGTGACTCAAGTTGGCCAAGAAGCCAGTCGTCATGTGCAGCACGCCCTCTGACGCCCATGCAGTTGCTCGAGCAGCTCGGCGGCAGGGGGATCCTGTCCAAGCATGTCTGCAGGCGCCGTATTTGGGAGTGGATTTCAGCCGCGGGAGACGCGGCAGGGCAACGCGCACTGGACGCCAGACCAAGCATGCCCTCATGTCCGCCAAGATCCGCCGTTTTACCCGCGCCACGACGCGCTACCATGTCACGGTGAGATTAGAAAGGAATGGCGGCCAGCCCGCAGGAACATACGGATTTCAAGTACCTGGAACGTTTGGGAGCCAGGTACGTGCTTGCAGGCGACGTTTGGGTCAGACACGTGCAGCAGGCATCCGCGGTAGGTGCCTTACGACAGTTCTCGACTTGCGAGCTCCTGGCGGCGACCCTGCAACAACCTACCCAACCAAATGCATCGACCAGTGGCTCAGCAACTGGCAGCAGCAGCCCGACCTGGCCGGAGGTGCTTTCCAGTCTGCGCGCCACTGAACCTCCCCTGCAGGTCCGAGCAGTGCGAGGGCCGATTTCGGCAACCATCCTCACGCTGCTACGCCTCCAGTGGAAACCAGCAGAGGTGGATCATTGGTCGCTTACTTCACTCCACGGCACCAATGAGGATTGGCAGTTCCCTGGTAGCATCTAAAACCCGCACCTGGACACGCACAGGGAGCTGCTGCAGGACATCAGGCGGTAGGCAGAGCTGGTGGCCTAGCAGTAGGCGGCGCAGCACTACTGTGGCGGCGGTCTGGAGGAAGGAGCAAACAGCACATCCTTCCGTCCCCTCTTTAAGCAAGTGAGCCAGCTGCCCCATGGCTCCAGGATGTCTGAAATCCTTGTGGATAATGCAACAAGAGGGTTTGGGACCTGCCAGCGCCGCCAGGATAAGCTGAAAACGTATAACGGGCAACAACTGTTGAAAGATGTGGGCTCAACCCCAAATCGTATCTGCATCGTTTCTGGGAGTGCGAGACAAATTACGATGCCCTGCCGTACCGAAGGTTGGCGTCTCCCATCCCCGAGGCGTTGGCCCAGCACAATACGGCAGAGTGCTTCTGGCTGAGGGGCCTCATCCCTCAGCAGCAGTGGCTGGCGGTACCTCCACCCACAGATGACCTTCCTCTGGAGTTCACAGGTGCCAACGGACTGGAGCAGGGCATGTTTGGTGCTGGCACCGCGAGCAGGCCAGTCGAGATGTTCGGGAACGCTAGTGGTGGTGAGGACTCAGCGGTGCCCAGTTTGCGCAAAGCCGGCGTCGCCATTGTATGCTTCAACCAGATACTCCCTGAGATCGAGATCAGGGGATCAAGTTTGGCCCACTGGGGGGCCCGCGTCAGTGACACGAGGTGAACTGTATACCTTATACCTTGCGACCTGGAGCATCATTCGTTATTTAACTTATGCCGATGATTGAGATTATGCTGTGGCTGGATGGTATAACCGTGTAGACTTGCATCCCGCTGGCGAGGATGCTGATCTCTGGAATAAAATAAGCCAGCTCATGAGTAACAGATGCCACGAAGAGATTGCCATCCTGTGGACGCCATCCCATATGACAGCCAAGGATATGGCCGAGGGCAAAACGACAAGGTACTTCGTGCTCGGTAACCTCGAAACCGACGAGTTCGCTGGATGTGCTGCCAATCTCGCTCGGCTACCCGCCAATGGCCCCCACTCTGTGTTGATGATCGTGTGTTGATGATCGAGAGAAAGGCCCACCTCATCAGACTCCGTTTTTTGAGGGCCTCGCTTTATAGCATCCGTGCAGGTGCAGAGCTGGAGAAAGAGAGGGAGAGGAATGAGCCCCCAGGCCACAAGGGCACCCGTGAGACCTCTCCGCCTCCTGCTCCCCCCTCTGCTGCCGCTGTCTCTGCCCTGATGTCCCAGCATCGCCTGGCCGAATGTGGTCGGCGCTGCCTCCACTGTTTTGGCTCCGCTACCCTCACCACCACCAAGAAATTCATGGACTCATTATGCCCGAAATTATTCAACGTCGATGGGGTGATCTTTTCGCCGATCCAGGGGTCGCGGATTCATATCGTGGGGGTTGGGCCCATCATTCGCACACCTGAAATGTTCATATCACATTGAAGGTTTGGTTTTGTTCTGGGTGTGGGGCGATCGCCGATAAGGTTCTGCGATCCCTTAAATCCCCTTGTCCCCGAAGGACGTCAGCCACAGGCCGAGAATACCTCGACAGGATTGCCAGGGGGTTGCCTCCCAAAGTCCTGAGCCGTGCTGAGCAGGCAGCTAGGCGTTCGAAACATCTTCGGCCGAAACCTACGTGAAGCATTGAACCTGCTGCGCAGAGGTGTCCACTCCACTCCACTCCACTCCTGCTCCTCCTACTCCTCCTCCTCCTCCCCCTCCTTCTCCTCCTTCTCCTCCTCCTCCCTCCCTCGCTCCCCAACGGCCCAGTGGCACCCGAGAGAGTGCCCACCCCCATCACACAGCGGGATCCCTGGGCAACGGGGTCATGGTCCTGCAGACGTGTAACCTGATCTTGTTGGACGTTTACGAGTAGGCACTTTGCGAGTCATGGAACGCGCTCGGTGATGCACAGGCTGCCGCGGCGGCCGAAGGCCGGCGAGGCCCGAGCCCCCCCCCGCCCGTGCAGCTCCGGCGAGCTGCTGCGGCGGTGCGCCGGGCGGAGACGGCAGCCGACGGGGCTCACGGGGAGCTCAGCGAGGCGCAGGAGGCGGGGAAGCAAACAATGGCACAAGCGTAACAATTTCGAGGTCCGCGCGGATTCCTCGGATCGGCGCTGGGGCCCCCTGGCGGCGCCTGCGGCGCCGCCCGTGGCGCGCTCCGCGCGCCGAGGAGGGGATCCAGCGCCGATCTGGGAAATCCGCGCGGACCTCTGCGTTGGTTATTTTCATGTCACGGTTTGCCCCCCTGGGGAGAAGGCGGCCAAGCCGGAGAGGAACGTCGGCAAGCCCTCGGCGTGCAAGTGGACTGCGCCGAGGCGGGGAGGATCGGGCCGCACAGGCTCCCGTGGCGCCCTCCCCGATGCCCGGAGGGACGGCGGCCGCGCCGCAACCGCGGCCCGTGGAGGCCATGCTCGACCCGCCCGGGGGCAGGCGGACTGCTGCGACGGTGGGTACCGCGAGCTGGCGGTGGCGCGCCAGGCGCAGCTCGAGCTCTGGGCCAAGCAGCGGAAGACGCCACCGCCGCACACTGGAGCAGCAGCGCACCACCCACGAGCAGCACGAACGAGCGCGCCGAGGAGCAGGCCACAGTGCTGGTCTGGGAGGAGGTGGTGCGCACCCAGAAGGATCAGGAGGCAAAACTCATCGAAGCCCCGTCGGCCCTTCGCACGGGCCAGGCGCAGTTCGCCAGGCGCCGCCGAAAGGACGACGGCGCCATTTGCACGCAGCATGAGCCGCAGGCCGCGCCAGGCCCGACCGCAGAAATCCCAGCCGCAGGCCAGCCCAGCGGGGACGCAGGAAGCCCAGAGCCGAGCCAAGAGCTAGGCTTGGTGGCCGAGCGTATCCCTCCGAGGACGCCGCGGCCAGGGCGGCCCTCGTGGAGGTCCTCAGCGGCCAGGCCGATGCGCGGCTGCGTGAGTCCGAGGCGAAGGCTGGGCTGGCCCCTTTCGCCTGCAGATGGTCCGCGGCCTGCTGCGCCGGCTGCGCCTGCCTGCGCCGCTGCTGCTGGGGTGCCGCACGTTTGACACCTCGTCCGAGGAGCTGCACTTGGCGCCGCGGGCGGCTCCACGGGTGTGCCCGACCCTCCTGGGCGCCGACGTGGACGCCTGCAGCGGCCTGGCAGAGATCTTAGCGCAGGTTGGCGCGGAGGAAGAGGCCGGCAGGCCGGAGGCGGCAGGTCCCCACGGCGAGGAGCGGCGGCCGTCGGCGTTCTTGTCTGCAGGAGGTCAGGATCAAGCGCGAAGCCAAGCCGGTCTCGGCCCACGGCCCAGCGAATCGACGGGAGGTGCTGGCCGCGGATGGGAGAGCGCGACCGACGAACGAGGGAGGCTTGAATATCTCAGGAGGCGTCTCGGCGATGCTGCACCGCGGAATTGGCGCGGGGCCGCCTTGCGTCGGCGCCCACTGAGACCACAGGTGGAACTCCCTCTGGTGCCACGATCCTCGTGAGGGGTGTGCCGAAGTTGGCGCGTTGCCGCCATGCGCCTGTGCCCACTGACACTGCAGGTAGAGCTCCCTCTGGGGCCACGATCCTCATGAGAGGTGTGCCGACGCTGGCGCGTCGCAGCCATGCGTCTGCGCCCACTGACACCACATGTTGCGCTCCATATGAGGCCGCGATCATCGTGAGCGGCGTGCTGAAGTTGGAGCATTGCTGCCATGCGTCTGCGCCCACTGGCACCGTAAGATGGAGCCCCCTGTGGGGCCACGACTGTGCCGAGAATTGTCGCGGTGCCGCCACGCGGCTGCGCCAACTGACGCTGTAGATAAAGCCCCCAGAAATGGCCACGAAGCGTGTGAGAGGCGTGCCGAAGTGACCATGCGGAGGGCAGAGGCAAGGCGTGGATGGGGCGCGAAGAGCTGAGGCAAGGAGGGGAAGGTGGGGGGTGCGAGAAGACTGGGGGCGACGCGGATTCAACACGAAGACCTAACGACGACGAGGAGGGCCCTCCACGTGCTCCGTCTCTTTACTCTTCTCTCCGCGTTCCTCTCCGCCTTCCTACTCGTTCCCTCCTTCCCTCCATCTCATCGTCCGCCTCATCATCCTCGTCACCATGTGCGTCCTCCTCCTCCTCCTCCTCCTCCTCCTCCTCCTCCTCCTATTCCTCCCCGTCACCATACTGAGCATCATGACCCTCGTCATCCTCATGCTGAATGTCATCCGTCCCTTCCCGCCTCCACGTCGTCGTAATCATCGTAACCGTCGTCCTCATCCTCCTCATGATCCCCCTCCTCTTCCCTTCGTCCCCCTCGTGATACTCATCGTCCTCTTCATACGCTTGACCCTCATCCACAGGATGAGCAGGAGGAAGGAGGGAAAGGGAGAAGGATAACGATAAGGAGGGGACATAATGAAGAGGAAGGGGGAAGAGAAGACGTCCTCCATTGAATATGCTCTTCCCCGTGTTCTTTCTCTATACTCTTCTCCCCGTGCTCCTCCGCCCTCTTTTCTCATTATCTCAGTCCCTCCTCTACTGCATCTCCTCCTCCTCCTTCTCGCCCTCCTCGTCCTCCTCAACCTCCTCCCCGTCCGCGCGCTTAGCCTCGTGACCCTCAACACCGTTCTAGTCTTCATGCCGATGACCATCCTGATCTTCCATCCCAATCCTTCAGCTCCTCCTCCGCCTCTCCTCATCCTCCTCTTCATCATCAGCATCGTCGTCGTCGTAGTCGTCGTCATCATCAACAACACCACCATCATCATCAACAGCACCATCATCATAACACTCATCATCTTCATCAACGTGAACATCACCACATCAGCAACAGCAACACCATCAGCAACATCATCAAAATCATTAACATCGATATCCCTATCCGTCTCATCATCTTCCTTGTGATCGCCGTGATCATCATCCGTCTCATCAGCCTCCTCCGCCTCCCCTCTGTTCGTCGTGAGAGGTGTTCCGAACTGTGAGGCGGGCACGCCAAGCGGGCGCGGCCGATGGAGCCGTAGGTGGAGCTCCCCGAAGCGCAAGAACGAATGAGGGATGTGCCGAAACGGGAGACGGGGACGCCGTGCGCCATGCGGGAGCGGCCGCTGGGACCGTAGATGGAGCTCCTCGAGGGTAACGAAACGTGGGAAGCGAGTGCCGAGATCGACAAGCGGAGCAGACGCAGGGAGAGCAGGTGGAAGGGAAGGGAAGGAGAGGAGAGGAGACGTGCGGCACTGCGGATTCAAAAGGGGCCCCAGCTCCGACCAGGAGGTTTGGTGAAAGACAGGAGGGGGAAAATGGGGACCCCCAAAAAGACGTACGCGCCCAACCACGTACATGAACACGGCCCCACAGTCCGCAAAACCAGCCTCGTGATACGAACGTTCGCGCAATACGTACTCCCGAAACCAACGTGGATTCATGTACGTGTACGTCCTTCTTTCGCTCTTGAGAGGTGGGAAGAGGAGAGGGGGCCCTCGGGCTTGCGCGGCATCGCGACAGCACCGACAACGCCCTGCACGTCTTCGACGACGGAGTGCACCCACCAGTCCACCAAGCACACGCATTCCCATTTGGGGCCCAGACCTGTGAACTTGGTGGGTCTGGCCTTCACTGCCTGGCGGGGAGCCGATTTCCATCGAGATCTTGGCCCCAATTGAGCCTCTCGAGGGCTTGGCGATTTTGCTCGACTTCCCCCTCCCAATCTCCGTCGACGGCCTACGCACAAAACTGTGTAGGCTACCGGTCAATCTTCAGGTGCTGCAGGCCGGCAGGTCTCAGCTCGTTCCTCGGCGTCATCACTGCACACTTCTGCGGAATGTTCTTATCGTAGAGCGTTGTCAGCAAAGGATCCATGAACATGCGGCCTTCGCTGCCATGTTCGCGCATGCACCGATGAAAGGGCACGTGCTCACAGTCATACACGCTTGCATCGTAGTTGCACCTCATGAAAGGCTCCGCTTTGTAAAGTGCGAGTCCTCCAAAGCACGAGTGCACTGGCTGGGGATGGAATCCATCAAACATGGTCGCCGCGAGTGTGGCTCCGCAGCCATATCCGTTGAACTCATCGTGGCCTTTAGTTCTGTAAGCGAAGCAATCGTGGTAACCGATCCTCTCTGCCGGGTTATTGTTGAGGTGACGGAGGCTGTTGGCACAGATCATGTCCCACTTGTCCCATGCAGTGAGAGGGCGCCCCAACGTGTTGAAGAAACTGTGAGGCAAAACGGCATGATCCCCGAACAGATTCAAATCGAAATCGTACAATACCACCAAATCCCAGCCAGGGTTCTTGAGGACATAAGAGCTGACGAACGACTTCAGCCTGTTCCTGAGAGTCGCCATGCGCATCATGCGGGACTGTTCCAGCCCCCGCGCATCGCCCAACTGCAAGGTAAGAGATTTGAACTCGAACTTGGCATCTCGACGAGCGATTTTCTCTAACTGCATGGCAGTGCCATCAGAGGAATCGCTCTCCAAGACAACGAAATGGTAATCCTTGAACCATCGTCCGATGTTCCTCAACATCTTGTAGCTACTGTCCACAGCTTTTTCAGCATCGCGGATGAGGCCAGCAAAAATGACCGACATGTTGCTCGCAAACTCGTGTCCTCGCTCAATGTTCGCCTCCACCTTGTACCAATTCTGCACGACCGTCTTCTCCAGGGGAGCGGCGTAGCACAACCCGGGTTCTGCGCCACTCAGGACATATGGGTCTGGCTCAAAGTTTGGGCCCTCGAGGATCGAATGGCAAGAAACTTCATAAACATAGACTTTTGGAGGTCCGCGCAGCTGTCTTGGGTCGGCGCTGGGCCCCTTCCCCTGGCACGCGAAGCGCGCAAGGGGTGGCGCCGGAGGCGCCGCCAGGGAGGGGACCAACGCTGACCCAAGAAATCCGCGCGGACCTTCGATTGAGATCGAACAATCATACAGGTCCACCCTCTTCCTCCTCCCTCCCCCCCTCCTCTGAGTGGTTTCCTCCCCATCTAGGAGTGGGAGGGGAAGGCACGAGGTGTACCTGTCTAGTTGCCCTCCTCCGATCCGAAAGGCTATGCATATGTAGTTGTTTGCTTTTCGAGATGAGGAGCGCCTCCTTCTCGGACCCATTGGCCGCGGCAAGCTCCCAGGTCTCCAGCATCTGCGGGGGCACGCGCCCAAGCAACCCGAGGCCCCGCGCAGGCACGACCAGCACAGCGAGCAGGCCAGCGAGCCGACGACCCGCAGAAGGCATCGGTAACCACACCATCACTGTGCCTGGCCAGTCCCCATCCTCGGCCACTAGAGCAAACCATAATACGAGAACGGCCCATACATACACTGTCAGAGCCCCGCGCGGACTTCTTGGATCGGCGCTGGACCCACCTCCGTAGCGCGCCAGGGGTGGCGCTGGAGGCGCCGCCCGGGGTCCAGCGCCGGTTCAAGAAATCATGGTTCTGCACTTGCGTTTTTGGTTTCTTTTCCTCTTCTTATTATTATGACTTTCATATTCTTCTTCTTCTTCTTCTTCTTCTTCTTCCAGCCCGGGCATGATGTATACGCCCTCCAGGCCGAGGCCACGGGGGTCTATAGGCCACCCTGGGGCCACGATGGCCCTGGACAGGCACGATGGGGCTGTACAGATGCCTGCTGCGGAGGACGAGGCGCCATTGCGGCCAGCCGGGCGCAGGTCGGCCAGAAGCCAGGGAGGCAGGTGTGTAATAGTCGTGAAGGAGGTATACGTGGCCATGCCAAAGAGCGCAGCGCGCTTGAGAGCCCAAAGAGCAGCGGCGAGGGCAGGCTGTCTGCCCCAGCTGGGCACCGCCTGGTGAGGAGGCAGACATCGAGCACAAGACTCGCTGACAACACACGTGGATGAGTACGTGCGCACATGATGCAAACATTCCCCCCCGGGTTTGGGAAGCCGTATGGTGCCGTTCCATTGGTATCGGGGTAGGCTGATGGTCTCTGTCTCGAGTTATGCTCCTTCGTGTCTTTCCGCCGGGCGCCGCCTGCTGGAAGATGGACGTCGGGTAGGAAGCTTTCGAAACTGTGCTGGGAGGGCCTCCCAAGGGCCTCCCCGGGGGAAGGCTCCCAGAAAATGCCAAGACGGAGCCAAGACGGAGAGAAAAACGGATGAGTATTAATCGAGAATGTATGAGATCTGGCGGCTCTGGAGAATGGCGCGGGCGCCACGGCCTTTCCAGAGCGTTCGCAAAGCTCTGAGGCGGTTCCGGACCGAACGGGTTTATCCTTGTCCTAGCCCCGCCCGTAACATACCCCAACCACTGTGATTCGAAGATCTGGCTGTCCCAGGAACCTCCGAAAACCACTAAACTTCAGAGGACATGCGCACATGTGCGAGAGGCGCCGCGAGCCTGCGAAGGCTCACCGAAAGCGCGGGAGACAACTTCAACTACGCACACAGCGAAGCAACCAGATCGTCATCAGCAGCATCATCATCTTCAGCAGCAGCATCATAATCATACTCAGCATCATTACTATCATCATCAAGAACAACAGCAACCTTCATCGTCGAAACCAGTATCATCACCACCACCACGACCACCACCACCATCATCATCATCATCAGCAGCAGCAGCCTCATCATCAACAACACCATATCATCAACATCATCAGCATCATCATCGTCAGCATCCTCAACATCATCATCACCAGTATCATCACCACCACCACCACCATCATCACCATCATTATCAGCATCATCAACAACGTCACCATCGACATCGGCATTAACATCGACAGCAGCAGCAGCGCCGAAAGCCTCTAGAAGCTGCTGAACTAAACTTACCAAGTCCCAGGGACCTCCAAGACTTTCGATCGCAGACGGGCGGGGAAGAGGAGAGGGAGGAGGTGAAGCAGGACCATGAAGGAGGAGGTGGAGGTGGATCCCTCCTGGATGGAGAGGCCTCCTTCCTCATCCTCCCCCCCGCCCCTGATCCTTTCGAGGCTGTGGAGAGGTGCCACCAGAGACGCTGCGACCCTAGAAAAAAACGCAGGGAGTGTGAGCCGAGATCGCGAGTAGCATCCCTGCTCCCGCACTGCCTCGGCGCGGTGCGATGGAGGCGAGCCCGGCTGTGCCTGGCCAGCGCCGCCGCCGCCCGCCGCGGTCGACGGCCGCGCGCCAGACGCAGTACGCGCGCGCGGCCGAGCGCCTCATGCTCGTCTTCGCGGCGCTGTCAGGCCAGCGCGGTCGGCAGTCCTCTCATGTGGCTCGCTCTGGCCCTGGCTCGCGCGCTCGCTGAGGCGGCGGCGCCTGCTGCTGCCACGCCGGCCTCGGACATCGCCTCGGAGACGCTCTCCACCCCGGTGCCCACGCAGCCTGTCGACCCAGCAGCGGGGCCACCTCGTGGAGAGGCTGTTGCGAGGAAGATCGGCGCGACGGCGGCCGCGCTGCCAGCGGTCGCTGTGCTGGCCATGCCGGTGCCTGCGGACGAGCAGGTCCAGGTCCAGGTGCAGGCGCTGGCGAGCGCTGCTGCCGCTGCTGGTCCTACCTAGCTGCGCGGGGCAAATCTCTGCGCGCCGCCACCCTCAGCCCCTCCGGCTCTTGCTCGCCTCGTCGGCACACCTGAAGCGTCGTCGTTGCCACCCTTATGGAAGCCAACAGTGCCATCTTCATGGTCGGCCTCGCATTCGCTTCCGCCTGAAGCTGCTGAAGGTCCCGCCGTCGGCCCCTCTCAGGAAGGAGTCGCACGGCGCGCAGCTGGAACGTGGGGGGGAAGACACCACCCGACGGGAAAGAGCGTCTGATCCCAGACCCTTGCGTGAGCGAGCGTGAGCGAATTGTGAGCATGCTGTGATTTCTCACACATGGTCAAAGAAACAGTTCCGCTTTGGTATCGAACTCTGCTTAGGTCTTGCTGCTAGCTGGGTTCAGCCTGACCTTGAGCGCAGTATTCTGCCTCGTCGCCATGTGCGCTTCTGCGCTGCGTATTCTGGTCAGGCTCGGTAGCACGCTCGCTTTCCTGTCGGTGGCCTGTGCACTTGCCCGCGCGTGCCGCAGTCTCGCTGTAGGCTTGACCTCGCCCTACTTCTAGAGCGCATCCGTTGGGCCCCAACCTGTACATCCAATTAAGAGCTACTGCCGGTACCCGCTCTTGCCTGGCGGGGCCTCCCACTGCCACCCTGCTCCCCCACTCTGGAGTGGGTCTTGGCAGCTCGCTTCAACGGTCATCGGCACCTTGGAGTGTGATGTCGCACAGCACGGCTTCCCCTTCCCCGTCGTGGGTCGCCCTCGCCGCTCCTGCTTTTTACCCCAGAGCTCCCGCTCCGCCCGAGGTGGGTCTCCCCCCCATCAGCAGCTACAATGATCCTGTCTTCTTCGGGGGGGGGGGCCAGGGCCAGGTCCCCGTTTCTCTGGAGCAGTCGCAGGTCTCTGCAAGTGCTGTCGTTTAGCGCTCCCTCGTCGTGGTTCGCCCCCAACGCCCTTCCCCTGCTGGCTGATCTTCTGGCTTCTCCAAGTGGATCGCCCCCGCTGCCCGCTTGTAGTTGGCTGTACGGTCTCCGTACCGTCTTGCACGCTCTCCTTTCAGTGGCACTTCACTTGTGTGGCGCCTGCCGCCACCCTTGCACTGCTTGGCCCATCAGTGCATTATCTCTTTTCCGCTTCGGTGAGAGTTTCTGCCGCAGCGCGGCTATGCACTGCTTGTTCGACACCAGCTATAACCCTCCAATCCGCCTCTCTTCATTCTTTGCACCCTTTCTACAACCTCCTGCCGTGGCTCTTGGCAGCGGCAGAGCGGCGCTGTAGCTCTCATCGAGCGCGCACCCTGCGAAGCCGCGCGTGGCATGAGGAAAAGGAGTAAAAAAAGAGAGGGGATGAGCATAAGGAGGAGCAGAATGAGGAGGAGGAGGAGGAGAAGAAAACGAGAGGGGAAGAGCAGATAGTCTCAGACGACTCCCAACGCCCACCTTCCAGGGTCGGTCATTTTTGTCACGCCGCGCACGGCCGTCGTTACGACAGGGCCCCAGGGGGCCAGGAACAGCAAGACATGATTTGAGCGATCCCCACCAGACGGTGCCCCAGCAGGCCACGAGCAACAGAACATGCTTTGAGCGGTCTTGGGCGTTGCTACATGGGTGGCGACAACGGGGGAGGGGAAGGGTGCATTTCTCGGGCCCTAAGGGCCTCCTGTCGGGCCCTCAAGGGCCTCTGCAGGTGTCCTAAAGGGTTTTTTTTCTGCATCCCTGCCTTCCCCCCCACTTATCGCCCCCCCCGCTACGCGACGCCCAGCCCGGGAGCCTACGAATGCTTCTGGGGTGCATGCTGAGTGTAATTATACAGCGCGATATCTAGTCAAAACACTAATGTATGGTATACACGCGTGCTTTGCAGTTTCGTTGGTCGTGGTTGTTCTTGGTGCACATTATACACTCATGCCTGATATTTTCACTACGGGGTAGTGGGCTGCATCTGTTCCCGTGTCTTAGTCAGTCATTCTTCTGTGCCGCTCGAAGCGAAAAATGTTTATGCCCCAGCGCCTCTGGAACGGCGGCGGGATGGGGCGGAGGACACTCGATAGATCCCACCAGCCATTTAGGGCGTGCGTTTCCTCTTCCAACCCCTTCCTTCCCCTCTGGGGAGGGGTTCACCCCTCCCCCTGCCCCCCCCCCCTGGACCTGGACGGGGCGGGTCGCGAGCGGTCAGGCCGTCCAAAACGGCCTCGGCGAGGAACCACAAATCATTGGTGTTACTAGGGTTTG